GCGGGCGGCACCCCCCCCCCCCCCCCCTGCCGTTGCCAACAAGCTGTCGTGCTGTAGCCAGATGCGTCAGCGGCAACGAGAGGTCTTCTTGCCATGAAGACCAAGAGACGACTAAGCCCTTAACTAACTATAAGGCCACAAGAGGCGCTGCCCTCGCTCTGTAAGGGAGGAGTTTCTGATTGGACGAAAATTAAGAGAAGGGGTTCAAGTGAAGTTCATGGTCAGCAAATGTATTTAAGGGGTGCATTTTTCAAGATTCATCACTCTCGATAAAGTACTTATTCAATTAAGAAATGGAAGTCTTCTATTAACGTAGTTCAACACAGCTATAATTACAAGTCCTATCGACGGGAAACGCATTCCAACGACAAGTGTCCAGTGACAGCTCCCTTGAAGAAAGAACAAGGATGTCCCAATTTCAAGTATACCAGCAGTCTTCGTAAGTAGTATTATTACTACAATAATTACAACTCTGAGATTCAGAGATTACGTCATTGACATGCAACTAAAGACGAAGAGGCTCTTTCCAGAGTAACAGTGTGAAATAGATTCCAAACGCGTCGCCAAGTTCGCGCTGCTAAAGGGCGTCTTATCGACAAACCGTCACCTTAGTTCAAAGTCGGACGCTTATGAACTGACGTAATACATCATTCAACGCTCATAACAGCCGCAACACGTAGCAGTATCCTTCACAAGGCTCCCCTTTAAACTTACTTTCATCTGAGTTTATTGCAGTGCGCAAACATCAAGACAAGGTACGCTTGTTACGATACTAATACATATCACGTAACAACACTACATGTGTCGCGCTCCGTTATAACCATAACCTCAACTACGCACGTGCTCATCTAAACAGCGCAAGTGTCGACGAATCAAACTTCGCGCCATTCTGTGCTAAAATTCAACCATCACGCTGCATAGATGAGTGTACATTAATCCATCACAAGAATTATTTCCATAATTAATAATAGTAATACTAGTCAACTTTGTCATCAATAAATAACAGAATAAACAACATATACATCAGCCATACTTATATTGTATTATTATAATATCCCTTCCACTTGTGACCTTTCATCGCTACCACACAACACCCGTGGTCTCTGCGTTGTCAACGGCATCAATTTGTATCCTTCGAACCGGCCTTGGTAAAATAAGCCGGAACGGCGAATACATTTGGTACAAAGAGAAAACTAACAAAGGTAATAGTGGACTAAATGATGTTATTACTGTATACATATAGGCATACATAGTGTAACATCGTTTACTGTATATGCCGTCTTCCTTTGACTGGTAATTATTTTCAATTAAAATATATAGTAAAATATGAGAGGAAAAAAATATTGAAGGATTTACTAATTTATAATATGTAATCAATATTAAAGGGACGCCTTCCATTTTATAGTTTGCCATATTATAGGATTTTCTAGCTTTTTTCTTTTCTATCTTTCGTTTTCGTTAGTTTTTCGTGTATTTCATCGAGATGCATTTAGGAAAATTTATGAGAAGTCCAAATGAAATCCAGACAAAAAACTTTATTTTATGTAATTAAAAACTAAATATATTTTTGAAGAATTATTTGTGCTATCTTATATTCGAATATGAGTGTCATTTCATCTTAATCTTTATTCATTAACAATAAAAAAATACAGAAATTTTTTGGTCATGTAAACTTTCAGCATACTTAAATTATTTAATAACTTAATTATGTTAAGTATAGTTCAAATACAATAGTTTCAAGTGTCGTCGATCATTATGGAATTGTAATTATAAAATGATATCAATAGAAATTAAATAAATATGTTTAATAATATATTTAATTTCATAAATATGTTTTGTGTCTCAAATTAAATTTTAAATTTTGAATAAAGCACCGATTTGTCATTTATATTATAATTTCATTATATATTTCTTATTATAATTTTATAGTTTAAAAATATTATGAATTACTTATAATACTCAGATGAACGCGTGAATTCTTCGTTGGATTTTTCATAAAATCAACTCGACATCTGTATTCACCCTCATCAACCTGTTGCACATCATTAATATTTAGCGTTGCAGGTTTAGTCGATGTTTGAAAGTATGCCCGTTGAGTAAGATAATCAGACATCCACTGTGATGGTTTCTCCAAATGTTTACCTCTTATATCATAGCTAGAACATTAAAATGGAATTTTTAGTACAAAATTTTACATTTAAAATAAAATCTGATAATAAATATCCAGTCCTAAAATATTTTTATATTTATGTGAAATATTATTATGCTATCCTAGAATTTACTTTAAGACTTTTTCGATGTAAATAATAAAATCTAATATTGTATAGTGTTCGATTTTAAAGGCTTAGCTCATGTCTCGAACTACAAATTCAATAGTTCAGTAGATTAGTCTCTCGTCACGATAATTTTAAAAGAAATAATAAGTGACAAGGCTGAAAGTAAAACAATGTTTATTATTTATAAAAATTTATAATAATATTGCAATGTTGTAGAGAAAGAAGAGTATTCTATTGAAGTAATGAGGGCGTGTTCTTGTATTCTTGATTATTGTAGATTCTATGGATATGACTGAGTATCTTGAAGTTGAGGTAATACGGATGTTATAAAAATCAGCTGATGTAGTCAATCAATCATGCTTGTGAGGTAGCACGAGAAGATGGCGTTTGAATCAAGAATGCTTGATGTATGAATAACTATACTTGATATGGTGTAAGATGTTTAATGGAATTTATTGAGTAATCAATTGTGTCTTTAATTATTTTTGGGGGCAGTAAAAGAGTCTAGTCACAGCTAAGAGTGGTTAATAATAAGCCTTTGAGCTCTTGAAGGACTGAATAATCTGTATTTATAGTCGATTAGTCGATCTCTTGTTGTCCTTCCTTGACAATGTGTTTAACGCATAGCGACACTTGTGTCAGTTGTTCAGTGCCTGTACGATGTCGAAATGTTAGTTCGAGAGAGCGTAAGTTTGCCCGATCGACTCTTATGAGCCTGTACGTGGTCGAAGCGTTGGTTCGTCTAAGATAATGTGAAATTGCCCGATTAATTTTTCTGCGAGGTGTGACTAGCTTAATTTATTAATATAAAAAGTGTACCTTGTGAGCTACAGACAAGGTGTATTAGTTGCTGCGTAATTGATGTCCCCTTTGATTACTATTCCAATTGGCTTCACTGTAATCACAACTAAATCTGCCGATTTTCCTTCATTAATGCACACGTGTATTATTAGCTTGAATACTGAATATATGGCCACGTGTTCTCTTCACAGTATACTGTTACACTGAGCGACAGTTACCCTTAATTGAGCGAGGAGTAAGATTACAATGAGCCTTTTGAATACGCGCACGAACGGAAGGCTTGATCGTTCCATGGCGGTCCTGCTGAGGGCAGATCGAGACCCGTGTGCCATGGCTTCTACTGGTAGATAGTTAGATCGGTTCACTATGGTCGGTGTCACTGCTGTCGGGTCACGGCAAGATGTTAGCCACAAGCGCAGTTGAGCGAGGGTGTTTCGGCAAGAGAGCCGGTCAGTAAGAGAGGCTGCCAGCAAGATTTTCAGCGAGAGGGCGAGGCGCGCCGCGTGCGTCCCTTATATATCCACGCAGCGGCTCACTTAGCTGGCAACAAGGCATCGTCGTTGTTGCACTAATTCTTACACGAGGCGTCGAAGGAAAAATCTAGAACCTTCGAGAATTCGACGAAAGAAAAGTAGGGCGTAATACCTTTGTGTGATCTTATAGTATATTAGATTTCATGTCGTAAAACTTGCTCGGACTTGCCGAGTTTTGTTTATAAATATTCGTCCAAGTGCGCGTCCCGATCCGAGCGCGCGTGCCGTGTGCCGCACAGCGCGTATGACCCACTTTTTCTTAAATTCGTGGAAACTGCGTCAATCTCGAACATATAGATATATTTTAATTAATTAATTTTTATATGAAAAATTAAATAATATACTAATGTTAGATGAAAATTAAATAAATGTAACGTTCAAGATAATAAATCAATTATATTATTAATTCATTCTTAATATATACAGATAAAATCAACTATAATAATTTATGGAGCTTTAGAATAATAATAAATTATGAATCATGAGAAGAGAATGAATTTCAAAGAAAAAGTTTATTTTCCAAAGTATATCCATTATCATTTCGTTTACATTAGAACAGTAATTATGTTAATACTTAACAAGTAATTACATAGTACTTTCTTTTACTATATATAATAAAAATAAGTTATTTTATATTATGTCTACTCAAAAATTTCTAAAAAGTATTTGATATTATTCATTTCTATTTTAAAAATACTATTATATATAATAAAAATGATATTATATTTAATTAAAATCTAAGCCAACATGTTCAAATAAAGTTCTAAATCATTATTTAACATTATGAATTTATTAATTTCAAAATTAATTTGAAATAAATATTAAGCTTAAAATACTTTATTTAAATGATGTAATTTCAAAATCAAATTTATTTTTTATAAAACAAATTATCAATTTATAAACAGTATGAAATACAAACAGAAATATTACATAAAAATCCAATTAATTTTTTTTTTAATATTACTTCTAATTATTAATATTAATAATATTAGTAATCATTAAATAGGTCTATGTAAAACGTATTCCAACATATATAAAAATGACTCAGAGAGATTAAGTGTTTATTCGGAGTTGGAGCATTTTTGCGAGGTTTTCGGTTCTCGGGACTTATCAAGCGTTCTAGCCCACGGATATTTGTAATAGATTTGACAAGCAGAACTCTCAACTAGCTTAGATTCACAAACGTTTTACCAGACTGCTTAGCCTTCACATAGTAACGTCAATTGAATTCTCGAATCTTCCAACGCTTAGCTTTCGCCGAATTCTCGAATAGTCCAAAGCTTAGATTCTTGAATCTTCCAAGGCTTCGCTTTCACTGAATTCTGGAATAGTCCAAAGCTTAGATTCTTGAATCTTCCAAGGTTTTGCTTTCGTCGAATTCTCGTATAGTCTAAAGCTTAGATTCTCGAATCTTCTGCAAACCGGTTAGTCTCTGCATAGCAGCACCTAAGCATTGTTGCCAGCGTTTAGCTACCGCGCTGATACTTAAGGAAGCACGCATCAAGACTCCAGTCAGATACTCCTCCGGGTCACTTATTCCTCTGAGTCAGTTACTCGTCCTAGCCAGTCATCCACGCCCTAGCCACGTCATTAAACCGGAGTCTACAGCAGAGAGAACGTCACACAATCCACGCTCTCTCAGTGCAGCTATTGCAAGGAATACACGTGCAATTCTCCAGTGCGCAACGGTTAACAACCAACCAAGGACTGACTACAGCACAAGGAAATAGTTGATTTTCTAAAGAAGTTTACATACACTGTACATATTTAAAGCTCTTCCACTTATGCTCTTTTCTAAGCATCGCTAAGGCGGGTGACAAATAAACTGAACTATTGAACATGGCAGTTCGAGACAGAAAATGAAATACATTTGATCCTTCGAACCGGACCAAATACACAAACTTTCGAATAGTGTTCTTTTTACCCGAGTTATTACAAGCTGGATGAATAAACTTTCGAATAGTGTTCTTTTTACCCGAGTCATTACAATCTGGATAATATATCTACTTTATCAAATTTAGCTAATCTCTCTAGCTAAATCTCAAATTTGAAATAAATATAAGCTAAAAAATGCACGCAGATATCTATACCCAGAGAAAAACTATATTTTGTTAGTTCACGTGTATTGTTAAAGGCCACTAAAATATTAATGGTTTAACGATAAAATCAGGTTTTACATCAAAGGATATACAGTTGATTTAAGCTTTTGAATTAAAAGTAATTTAATTTAATTGTTTAATTAGTATACTTAATGGTGGATTGAATTGTAAAGTATGTA